CTTCCTCTGGTGTTAGTGTGTATGTGTGTGTGTGTTGCTTCATCTGGTGTCAATGTGTGTGTGATGCTTCCTCTGGTGTTAGTGTGTATGTGTGTGTGTGTTGCTTCATCTGGTGCCAATGTGTGTGTGATGCTTCATCTGATGTCAGTGTGTGCGTGTGTGTTGCTTCGTCTGGTGTCAGTGTGTATGTTTGTGTTGTTTCATCTGGTGTCAGTGTGTGTGTTGCTTCATGTGGTGTCAGTGTGTATGTATGTATGTGTTGTTTCTTCTGGTGTCAGTGTGTATGTGTGTTTGTGTTGTTTCATCTGGTGTCAGTGTGTATGTGTGTGTTGCTTCATCTGGTGTCAGTGTGTATGTGCGTGATGCTTCATCTGGTGTCAATGTGTGTGTGATGCTTCCTCTGGTGTTAGTGTGTATGTGTGTGTGTGTTGCTTCATCTGGTGCCAATGTGTGTGTGATGCTTCATCTGATGTCAGTGTGTGCGTGTGTGTTGCTTCGTCTGGTGTCAGTGTGTATGTTTGTGTTGTTTCATCTGTTGTCAGTGTGTGTGTGTGTGTTGCTTCGTCTGTTGTCAGTGTGTGTATGTGTGTGTTGTTTCATCTGATGTCAGTGTGTGCGTGTGTGTGTTGCTTCGTCTGTTGTCAGTGTGTGTGTGTGTGTGTTAATGTGGTAAATTTCATGGTGATATTGGCTTTAATGGTGAAGTTATCATGCTAATAAATTCAGTGATTAGTTATCATGATAACTTCACCATTAAAGCCAATATTAACATGAAATTTACCACACTTCTTAATATTTCACTCTTACATAAATTGAATTTTTTTAAATTCAAAAATTTTTACCAATTGTCTTGTTATAAATCTAAGTACCATTAATGAAGGCATTGATTAAAATTAATTGCCCATAGCTCGTTAACATTACAGAAAATTTACAAAGTTTTTAATTCTAGCTATTAGGATGTTCACAAAGAACATGTATATCAATTTTCACATGTTTTTATCATTCCTAAGTAAAGTTATGGTGTTAAAACAGTTTATGTTATGTATATTTTTTTATCTCCACCACATTAATTATACATATAACATATATGACTGTAAGTGTACTTTTAGAGATTGGCACATTATACTTTTTGTTTTGTGCTCAACTTGAAGGTTATAAGAAGTGTTTAACAGTGTTTCCTCAACAAGTAAATTTGACCAGGTTTAAGGGTTGGTGCTACATTAAAACAATTAATTTCCTAAGTAAAGTTACGGTGCTAAAACAGTTTATGTTATGTATATTTCTTTATCTCCACCACATTAATTATACATATAATATATATTACTGTAAGTGTACTTTATGCTCAATTTGAAGGTTATAAGTTTAACAGTGTTTCCTCAACAAGTAAATTTGACCAGTTTTAAGGGTTGGTGCTACATTACAGAGAAACAGTCCCCTCACTTGAATAGACAACATAGAAAATAATGTTGTCAAGTAGAAATTCACTTATGAAAGTTGACAATAAATACTAAAAGATGTATGTGAAGTATACCCACTAAAGTTTGGAAGTCAGATTTGAAACTGAGCTGTTGCTTTGAAATTTTTAGTGCCGTACTTAACATAATTTTGTTAAAGGTAACAAGGAAACTTGTTGTATACAAGTCAAATGTCTGTTGGTTACATTCTGTTGCATTAATGTGTATTTTTATTCTCCAGACACCAGATATTCCAGCGACTGTTTAGGAAAGAGACACAAGAAATTGTATGTATTTAAGTTTTGTTTGGTTAAATTAGTAATTATTTACATCAATTATTCACTGTTGAAGTGAGTATTTATTTCCCGATTTATTATTCTGTTATTGTTTGATTAAAATGGAACAGTAATATCTAGCAATGAAAATCTGCTTTACATTAGAGTTTCAAGCTAACAGTAATATCTAGTTTTCCAACTAACAGTAATATCTAGCAATGAAAATCTGCTTTACATTAGAGTTTCAAGCTAACAGTAATATCTAGTTTTCAAACTAACAGTAATATCTAGCAATGAAAATCTGCTTTACATTAGAGTTTCAAGCTAACAGTAATATCTAGTTTTCAAACTAACAGTAATATCTAGCAATGAAAATCTGCTTCACATTAGTTTTCAAGCTAAAGGTAATATTTAGTTTTCAAACTAACAGTAATATCTAGTTTTCAAACTAACTAATATCTAGCAACGAAAATGTGCTTCACATTAGTTTTCAAACTAACAGTAATATCTAGCAGTGAAAATCCTTTTTACTTTAGTTTTCAAACTAACAGTAATATCTAGCAATGAAAATCTGCTTCACATTAGTTTTCAAGCTAACACTAATATCTAGTTTTCAAACTAAGATGAATTGAGATGTGTGAAGGCAATCCTGATTAATGTTTTAAGTTTTTTTTGTTGTTGATTTTTTTCAAATAGACTAACTTATGCTCATGTGTGAACAGGGTAACTGAAGAAAACAATTTATATAATACATGGTGATTATAAGAAAAAGACCATATTTAGAATTACTATACATTGAAAGTACTTGTTTTAGGGGAAATATGCTGTGTGTTCTTGGTAGTAGACATATGCTGTGTGTTCTTGGTAGTAGACATATGCTGTGTGTTCTTGGTAGTAGACGTATGCTGTGTGTTCTTGGTAGTAGACATATGCTGTGTGTTCTTGGTAGTAGACATATGCTGTGTGTTCTTGGTAGTAGACATGTCTACTACCAAGAACACACAGCATATGTCTACTACCAAGAACACACAGCATATGTCTACTACCAAGAACACACAGCATATATGCTGTGTGTTCTTGGTAGTAGACATATGCTGTGTGTTCTTGGTAGTAGACATATGCTGTGTGTTCTTGGTAGTAGACATATGCTGTGTGTTCTTGGTAGTAGACGTATGCTGTGTGTTCTTGGTAGTAGACGATATGCTGTGTGTTCTTGGTAGTAGACATATGCTGTGTGTTCTTGGTAGTAGACGTATGCTGTGTGTTCTTGGTAGTAGACATATGCTGTGTGTTCTTGGTAGTAGACATATGCTGTGTGTTCTTGGTAGTAGACTATATGCTGTGTTCTTGGTAGTAGACATATGCTGTGTGTTCTTGGTAGTAGACATATGCTGTGTGTTCTTGGTAGTAGACACATGCTGTGTGTTCTTGGTAGTAGACACATGCTGTGTGTTCTTGGTAGTAGACACATGCTGTGTGTTCTTGGTAGTAGATATATGCTGTGTTCTTGGTAGTAGACG